CTCCCCAACTTTGTGTCATCTGCCAACCTGCTGATGGTGCACTCCATCCCATAAAAAAAGATAGATCGAGACAGAGATAGAAGACACAGAGAATTTCTGCAAGGAGAATAGCTATCAGAGGCAGTATATACCAAGAAACTGTGATTAAAAAAAAATAATTTAAAAACACTGCATCCCTTTCTGCCATATTAAAACAGCAATCATAGGTCTTAAGCAGGTAGAGTTCTTACATGTTGTCTTACACGGTTCCCAAAAGAACGGAAATGATTTGAACTCCAGCCAAAGTCAAATATTTAGAACAGACAAAACAGAGATGCAGAGGCTCAATAACATCTCCAATTATGACAAGTCTTTTAGTGAATTTGGCAACTTGGCAAATCCCCGTGCTTCCCCTTCTTCAAGGGGGAAAGAAGAAAAAGAACAGAAGAAAAACCCCACCAGTATATCAACCCTCCATCACCTTCTCCTCTTAAGAGATGTTTAGAAAAGCTTTCCAAGTGCCTCAGCCCACTGCCTCTCAAAGACCATTTCCCATGTCCTGTGCTTGAAGAAAGCAAGAGGAAATGAAGCACAGACAGTGGGTGGAACAACCCTTTCAAGGAAAATGCACATTAAACTGAATCTACTCAGAAAGCAATCTGCAAAAAATTTTTAACTCATATCTCAACACAACTGGAGAAGACACAGCTAAGAATCACGGTTGTTTGCTTTATGATTAAAGACTCTGTACTTTATTCGCAACTGCAGGTCTCTGGTTCTAGAGAAAACCTCTCAATTATTAGAAATTGATGGCATAGTCATCTTAAAAGTCATTTTCTATTAAAATAATTAGAAAAAAATGTACTTAAAAAATACACAGAGGTGAAATACAGTAAACTTGTGCATGTTTGTGTCTCACTTACAGTTTTGGCTTGGGCAATGGAAACGCCACAACAAATTTACTATTATTTAAAGAAAGGATTATATTGACCCAACCCTAAGTTACTGGCAAAGCAATTCAAAAACATTTAGGTATTTTTTAGCCTATAAGCATGACAGAAAGCAGCACAGGGTTAGCTTAATTGAAAAAGCATTTATCTGGGAAATGTACTGGGTCAATAAAGATGTTGTTAGAAGAGAGATCATAGTTCACAGAGTATATCAAGTTATACTCATCACATGGCAACTCATAAAATACATACATACTTGGAAAATACTCAGCACTTACATCAAGTTGCTTTCCTCAGATCTCAAAAAATGGAAAACTGAGGGACATACATTAATAAGCTTAAGTTATTATTTTGTTAACTTTAGGGTGGCAAAACACTAGTCAGCATCAGAGAGGCCTCCCCAAGGTCAATGAAGAACATCAGTAATGGAAATGAAGAAGCAGATCAACCACATCCAAACACTACATAAAGTCTTAGTTTAGGGTTAAAGAAAAATGCACTCATCCTCATTTCTCCTGTGCCCATTCTAAAGCTACATGATCATCAAAAAATGGATGTAAGACAGGAATCTTACCAACAAATATTCTCAGGATAAGGAGCATATGTAACCTCCCAGTTTGATACACACAGCTCCCTGCTGTAGGACGATGGCTGGGGTTCTCCTTTACACTTAATACTCTGACACTTGCAGGCATTAAAGTCCTTAAGGATGCTGTAAGGAAGAAGAGGATTTTTCCACATTTTTACATCTGAAAATGCTGCGTATATAATAAGAAAGACTGGGAATAGTGATAAAGGGTTTTTTATTTTAATAACATGACCAAGATAGTACCTAAACAACAATGTAACATATTATGCATTAATGGCATATGAACAGTTGGTACCACAGGTCTTTGAGATCTGTTTTCTTGGAAACAAAAAAGTCTTCGTTTAAACTGTTCCCTGCTTCTACTGACGTGAACAGCAGTGACTCATTAAAAAAAATTTTAAAAAATCAAAGCCTGAGAGCACTGGAAAAAAAATGACAGTTCCCTAAACACATCTTTATGTAATTACTGCTGTTTTCAAATCAAAGAATCAAATGAAATGAGAGTGCAGACTAATCCTTTCCACTAGTATCAAAACCAGCCAATTTTGCCTTGAGTACCAGAAAAACTTTTATCATGCTGCTATTCTTACAATTCAAAACATTAGTTTTTCACCCATTCCTAAAATAATCACAGCACTTAATTATATCTTCTAATATTATGAGTTGACTGACAATTGATGTATTTACAGAAAATTTAAACAGGCCCAGAATAAAAGATTTCTCAAAAGACAGCAACAGAAGGGCTGGCATGGATTCAGAGACAGTACAAATGTGTATATTACTGTGTAAAAGAAGGTCCAGTCCAGACAAACTCTATTACACTAGCATGGAAACAGCATACATTATATTCAAATGGCTAGACTCTAAAATCCGTGCAACATGCTTGTTTCTCAGTTGTGCTCTTAACATAAAGACAGAGAAACACACACACGAACACCAAACAAACATAACCCCCAAACCTCAGATCTTTACCTTACCAGAATTCAAGTGGTGATGTCAAACTGCCAGCATCTTGCAGCAGAAAGCATTTAAGGAAGTTAATTATACTTTGACAGTTTCTTTTTAAAAATGCATGCAGAGCAAACTTTAGCCACCATTAAGCAAGCTACTACAAATACCTCACCCCACAAACCTCAGTCCTGGTTTCCTGTTTTTCCCATCCTGTTTCACGGCTCTATGGAGCACATCCTACTAAGGGCACCAAATAACTTTCTAATTTGTTAGGAGCCTCAGATTCACACATAATCTAATCTTATCTAAATTAATTGTCAAGAGCATGGAATCCACCACATCAAATCCATGCTAAACAAACTAAAATCTTTTCAGTACTTGATAACGCAACTCAGAGATGCCTGCAATGCAACTCAGAACACATTCCCAAGGAGAGTATCCCGTCAAAACTGTACACAACACATCAGCAGCTACAGAAGAAACTTCAGTGCTTATTTATTCTTTCAGTTTCACATCTTAAAATGTTATTTCACACTCTGAATTCAGTAAGCATGGTATGTAACATTACCAAATTAGGAGAGGAGGCAGATTTCATCCCACAGTCACTACTCAGAGTAGCAAGCAAAACTTTCTCCAACATATCAAAATCCTGCAAGAAATTCTACACCATGGACTTGCTTGAAACCAGTCTCAAAGACTAGCTCTCTTAGATAACTTGGAGGACAAAAAAATGGAGGCAATTTAAATCAGAGAGGCTATGAAGAATTTTTAAAAAAGCATGAGATGTTATGTTGTAATACAATTACTCTTCTGCTTCCCTTTACACACTTTGTGGTAGTAAAAGATGCTCACAAAGTGTCCATAGAAAACAAGAGGCCACATGCATTTTGCCTACAAATGACTGAATGAAAGACCTGAATAACTTCTGACACTAGACCTACACATATATCTATAACAACAGGTAAGAGAGATATATAATGTGTATCTATCAGCTATGGCCAGGTCAGTCAGTGACCCTACTCAGTTGAGATGATTAACTAGCAGTGTAATTTGCATCCACTCTGACAGCTTGGTAATTAGACCATTTGCACAGTAGAAAAATGGAGACTTCAGTAACTCGTATTCATGAGATTATTAGTCAGGCCTCCTACTAACCTACACTGATGGACTGGATCCCACACAGAAGAGAAAGGCTCCGTATGCCAATTAATCCCTTAAATAATTTCTCCACTCAAAGCATAAGAGGCTAAATGCACATTTAGGAGAAAACTTACCAGAAGTAAAGCAGACCAAATCCACAGGTCAGAGTAAAAGAAGAAAGGAAGAAGAACCAACATAAGCAAACACAGGACACAGAGATCAGTTGCACTGTTATAGTTAAACGACACCAAACAAGACAACAGACAAAACTTACTAGGTTGCCATAGATTTCTCTTGAAATGTTACAAAAGCCATTCCCAGTGGGTTATTAAGAACAGTTTGTTCCTCTTTTGAATATGCTTCCATCAGTTCATTTCTAACTTTGGTATAATAATCTACAGCATCCTCCTGTTGGGAAATGGATGACTGTTACATGCAAGTTCCAGATGCCCAGTATCTTCATTAACATACAGCTTGCACAACCCAGTCCCTCTTCCTCATACTACTTCCACAAATTACAAATCATGTCACAAGGCAAAGATAAACAGGAAGATTTTCTTACACTTCAATTTTTGCACTAAGATTACATTTCAAAACGTAACTTGAGGGATGAGCTATCAGCAGTCAGTGAATAGAGTTGTCTGAAGCTCAATGAGACATAACACAACTGTTCTCTACTCTTCTAACAATCTACCTGGCCATAACTAAAATAGAACAATCTCTTACCCTTTCACATCCTCTTACTTCACAACAGCAGAACTGACCACATGGCTTAGGGTTGATTTGGACCCGCTTGCCATACTTCTGATGCAGGTGTTCATAGTAAGTCAGGCTTTTTTCTGCCTGTTTTCTGGACAGAAAATACATCCATAACTTTTCACAAGAAAACAGTATCAACATCAAGCTTAGGAGGAATATAATCCCCAAAAGAAAACATTGCACCAAGGACTGATAGCAGATTAATCACTCACCAAAGATATTTACATACACTTCATTTTGCTTACATATATATAATTTATTTTCAAGTCAGTAATAGCACTATACAGCCTACACTTGTAGTGAGGTTCCAGGAAAAACAGAACCCAATAGCCCTGAAGATAACATTTATCTCTCCTGTAACACTGGCCAAAGAAGCAGGGTTACAGAGTTATTAAATCAATAGTTCACTTTTTCACTTTGCACTGCCTGACAATAAACAAAATAATACCATAAACAAATACTCAGCAAGTCAAAACTTATCTTATGCAACACAAAACGTACCACACCTCTAAGAAAAGGGTTGAACCCCATAACTCACTGTTAAACACAACTGAATTTAATTGAAGTACAGACCAGAACTTTAAGCATGGAATTAATTTCTAGTATGTGAAAGCTTAGTACTCCTGGTACATGTTGATTAAGGACTGGCAAGACATTAATAAACTTATGCTTAACTCATGTGTAGATTAAAAGAAGTACCTTTTTTTGAAGAGATAAATAAGCTTGGCTACATCATAACACAGCTGGACCTCCAGTACAGTGCAAGTTGGGTAGGCATCACTGAAAGGAAACAGTACATGAGAACAACGAGAACAGAAAGTACAATGAAGAAACTGGTTCAAAGAGCATCACTGATATCTGACATCTCAATTACCCATTTCTTTTCCTAATGAGTCATCACAGAGCAGAGAGTTGCACAGACACAGTTGCTACAAAATACTTTCACATGACATGCACAGCATTATTCCAAGTAAAGTTCATGCGGGAGCATGAATGGAAAGCGTGGATACACAGCCACTTTGTTAGACTCAGATTTTAAGATCAGCTAACTAATTTGACTGAAAAATGGTCTTTTCTCAATTCTAGCTAAGGAATAAACTATGCTTTTAGAAGACAGATACTATAGTATGAATTTTAAACAGTGCAAAATTCAAAAAACTTGTCTGCTTGAGCAGGTAAAACTAGTAGGACAATTTTAAATCACCTGTTCCTAAATAAAAGGTGGAGACTTTTTACAAGGACATGTAGTGACAGGGCAAGGAGGAATGGCTTTAAACAGAAGGTAGGTTTAAGATTAGATGTTAGGAGGAAATCTTTCACGGTGAGGGTGGTTAGGCACTGGCACAGGTTGCCCAGAGAAGCTGTGGATGTCCCATCCCTGGCAGTGTTCAAGGCCAGGTAGGAGCAACCTGGTCCAGAGCAGTGTTCAAGGCCAGGTAGGAGCAACCTAGTCCAGAGCAAGGTGTCCATGCCCATGGCAGGGGGTTGAAACTAGATGATCTTTAGGGTCCTTTCCAACCCAAACCATTCTATGATTCTAATGGTATTACTCAAGCATGGAACTTACTTGAAATGGCTTTGTATTGTCTCTTCCTTTGCATTTTTTGGAAGACCAGTTATAAACAATGTGCACTTAACCTGCGAGAAAAAATGCACATCAAATTTTGAGAAACCACACCAGGATACAGAAAACAAGAATATAAGGAAGGCAGTGACGCAGCACAAGTAGCTGTGTGGTAGAGGGGGGGAAAGGGTAGGAAATTTTGATTATGGTGAGAGCTCCATCTATTTAAGACAGCACCATATTCACCTTCTACACTGGTAATAGATTACAGCAAATTTTCACAAATCCCTCCCCAAGCCCTCCTTCTCTATCCATTTTCACAATTCACACACTTTCAGTGATTTCAGATATTTATGTCACATTAGCAGAAGGCATCTTAGCAATTTGCATTTTAGTGTTCTCCAGTTGCAAACATGCTCTATGACTTTTTTCACCCCAATACAGAAACTTACTATGTTTTCTTCTCTATATGTGACATACTTCATGTGATGTCTCATGAAGACAACAGTCAGAATCAGGTAAACAACAGCAAAAACTGTGTGCAGCCAAAGAAGGTTATTGCTGTTGGACAAAATGTTATGAATATGAGAAACAGGACGAACCAATTGTCCAACTGATACAAGCAAACATCAAAATGCTAATCAAATCAGAACCTCTCACTGAACACAAAACAAGGAAAAAGGTAGTTACTGGGAGTCATCTACTTATGCAGATATCTTGAACAGCCAATAGGGTTACTTGCTTATCACAAAGTTCTATGGCTAACAGACCTACAAAGAAAACAATCTATGACATGGACATATTTAGGCAGTGTTCAGCTTGCACCTTCTCATTCAGATGACCAGTAGCACACATGGTGCTATTTACCAAGATGTCCTTTATTTGCCTTATTATTTACTGTGCTGAGTGCATAATTGAACTCTTCTGGAACACAATCCTTACTCAAGTTGAACACGGCCTCATACAGGGACTAAATTCTGCTTTTCTGATAGCTCCTTCTTCAAAGCTTACAGAAGTTCTGTTTTGTGACCAGCTCTTCAGTTTTGTGAATACCATAAATAATTACAATTAGCCTAAAATACAGGAACTCATTTTACAGATAAAAAAATCCAACCAAGCAAAAAAATTCCTACAAGTTACTAGGTGTTGAAATGTGGTTAAAGAAAAAAATGCATTGGAAATGATTTGCCATAATATCATGGATGAATGTGGATTGATCAAGTAATAAACCAGAAGACTTGTACAGCTTTGTATTTCAGCTATTTTACAGACTGTTTTTAAAACACGTAGAAGTCATTTTAATCTCAGATGGGAGAGATATGCACAGACATAACTCTAACGTAAGGGAATTTAAATCATCCAAGTTACACATTCTAGCAAAGCTGTCAGCTTTACTTTCCTTCTGAAGCACAGTTTCTTTTAATGTGGAAATTTCTGAAAACAGTAGTACTAGATGTGCAGTCATTAGCCAAGAGAAGCATGTGCTGTAAGAAGGAAGAGTTGAGACAGTAGAAGCCAAGTCTCAGGATTTCTTATCCTTGCTGTAAGTGCACAGCCTGAAGCAGAATGTATCCCAGTTTCAGTTGATGAAGTGTGAGTAAGTTATTCCAACCCCATAAGCCATGCTGCTTCATGTGTTTTGAGACTATGGCAAGCAATAGACATAAGCATAAAGGGACTCTGTGAAATTTACTTACCCAGTTTGTAAGTTTACTATAGTTGTTCTTCCAAAACTATAGGGATCTTTATCTAAGAAGAACAAAAACAAGTAGTGCAATTAACTAGTGCAACATTCACAGGTAAACGAACTGTCAGAAAGTCAGCTTTTATTCTATTTTCTAAAGATGCTGATATATTTCTTTTTAATGCTGAGCAAGTTCATTGATGAAAGATTTTAAATCATAATCAATGCTGAGTTGCTCTGTATTGCATTTCAAAGTTGGAAAAAACCCCCAAGGATTATACCACATTCAAGTCATGAAGAGAAATAAGAGATTATTTCAAAAATTTGAATGCAAGATCTTAGCAGCAGTTCCCTTTCTCCCTCCAATCATATTTCATGTCCATTAACAATACTGTTTTAGGGATTTGAACATATTTCCTTCACATTTTTATTCCATCTTAAGTGATTTGTTACCTCAGGCTTTTAAGCAGCATTGAATCAGTGTTGACAAAACAGCGCTGACAATCTTACCAAGGTAAAAAATGAGAGAGTTTACATGACACTGCTCCTCTAAACTGAAGAGTATTTTAAAAATGATAATGCGAGTGAAAATTGAGCAAACAGTCACAAAGGGAAAAGAGTTAAGTGCATCTGGAAAGCTAAACAATCCTCTAGCACAGAATGTTAAACCGTATTTTAAGTTAAGTCATCACAACTGAAAGAACTGTAAATGCACAGAATCAACATACAGTGGAAGGGGAGGAAGAAGGGCAGAGGCACTAAAACTTTGTTCTTCCTAGCATCACGAAAATTAATGCAGAAAACCAGAAACTGTCTTCTCCTGTTTTACAAGGTCAGTCATACTTTGCCATTTGAACTAACAGAGACCATCTCTTGGTATTCAAGATACTACAACTTTTAACAAATTATAGTTAGAGAAGGACAGTGCACACAAATTGATGATTACTATAAAATCTATTTGGGTATAAACATACAGGTAGTAACTAGACCAGAAGAGAGAATTACTCTGAGTCCTTTGAAGGCAATGGCAACCCCCTCTCTACAAAGGAGATGAAAACACCAATTGTGCTGAATTTGATTCAGTAAAACTAGAGATGCTGGCTGAGAACAGAGGCGGAAAGCAAGGAGGAGAAGTGACTGCAAAGTGATAAAGGGTCCTTTGAATGAAAAAAAAAAAGAAAAAAGCAAAGGAAAAAAGAGATGGTCTTTAAGAAAGCAGATATTAATATAAGCAGAATTGCCAAGAAAGAGCTCATAAAAGGGAAGTCAGAGACAGCAATGCCACAAGGAAACAATACAAAAGGCAAAGGTAAACATACCCTATTACAGGCAAGGGGTATGTCACAAGGTTCTTAAAAACACAGGTAGGAGCAAACTGAAAACAAAAACTAGGACAGATTATTCAGGACAACAGAAGATAACAAATTATAGGGACAAAGATTAGCAAGATCAGATGCAATTGTTATGGTATAAAAACACACCAACACAAGCAAGTACCCTGCTTGAGAGCTTCTCAGAAAACCAAATGAATTGCTGGCTTTTTTCCATCACTATTTGTGGGAAATCGACGGGAGAAATGCGCACCCGATGGTGTCCAGCAAGACTCGTTTATTGATACATGAGTTACAGATTATATAGATTCATTAATGAGGCTCATATATATTGCAAAAGCAAGCTCATCATTGGCTGGCGCGATTAATGGTCAGCTACTTCCTTTGCAGCTTCTTAGATCTTGTGCAGCTGCTCTTACTCCCTTGTCCAACATCATGTAACTGATATAAAGTTGCTGACATGTTTATACCGTGTATGAACAACTATGCTTATTGTTCTCTTTACCATTACCTAAACTCTAAAAGTTACATTTGTATACTTTCTTAGCTTGCAGGACAACTATACCTATTATTCATTTTAGCATTACCTAAGCTCTACAGGTTACATTTTATTTACTAGGTTTGCTTGCAGCTGCAGCTGTGAAGACTCCTTTGTTTTCTGGAGAATCCTTCTTTGTTTTCCCAGAATAGTTCATCCTTGGGTTTGCAACATTGCTGAGCTTTCCCAGATAGCTTGTCCTTTGGCTGCAACATTATGCTGCAAAAATAACTTCTAATGCTGAGAAGCTAAACTCCTGAGGCCTACTTCTTAGTTATATGCTCAAAGCTCCCATAAGCCTTTGCTCGACTCTTGCTCGCACAATGCTCTCTGGGAGCTGTGCCCCTGTTCCCTTAGCCATTCTTCAACAACTATTCACCAAGATGATCAACTATGAATAGCTCTGTAAATATGATCTTGATGAGACTGATACAAAAGCAGCTATAAAATGGGCTTGTAAGGGCTCATCATCAAAAGGGAAGGATGTATACACAGGGTTTAACAGAGTTCCAATACAGAGAACTCAGTATTCCCATCAGCAATCTGAATGGCAGA